TACCCCGCTCGCGCCCTTAAATAGTAGGAATGCCATGCAACGGTTCAAAATGCATGATACTATGTGACAATTTGAAGGATGTCACGTAGCTCTTCCTTGCTGTTTATTTCGGGTGCTAATCGTTTTATCTCAAGGGCTTCCAGTATTTTCCTTTCTGTTGTGTTCTCTATTGAGCGGTGTAGCACTTTAATTACTAGTGTGGGGGGTTCTTCTTGTGCATGCTCTTTTGTACGATGTCTGGAGAAACTGCTATTAGGATAAGCCGGTGGATTTCTAGCGCCCTGCGGTGCTCATCGAGCCTTTTATAGAGAGGTCTCTTTGTTTCTCCGACATATTTTTGCCCACATCCTTGACATTCTACTAAGTAAACTGTCCCCTGAGCTGACATATTTTGGTGTCAGTACAGTAGCTACAACCCTCTCTGCCGCATTTTTCTTCATAGGGCCTTGAGTATGTGAGTAGGCGTTTGAGATTCGGTGGTGGACGGAATATTAATCGTATCGGGAGAGGTGAGCTTTTGACCACACTGTTCACTTTTAAGTGCCGTGCTTTCATTAACATACGGCATCACCATGGATATTCCATCTGGTGTCGAGTGTGGTCTCCATGTATATATTGGTGCCTTAACATAACCGTTCTCCCTTAGAATATTGTCCACCATCGAATCTACTTCATCCGATTGTTGGGTACAAATTTTCTCCTTGGTGGTTATTAGGTTCCGCACTATGTTGGCTTTCATGTATGTAGGATGGCAGCTTCTAGCGTGCAATAACACATTTTTTGATGCTGGTTTCTTATACCAAACTAATTCTGTGGCCCCATTTCTTATTCGGACTTTTGTATTTAGGAATGGAACAAAACCTCCACATTTGGATTTTCTACAGTAAACTTGATATTGGGATCTTGTGAATTTAAATTATCAAGTGTTTCTTCCAGCTCATTAGAAGAGGAGCCGACTATGAATACGTCGTCTATGTACCTCTTGTAGAAAATTATTCCAGCAGTTAATGACCTTTGTTCCAAATGGTCCAAATATACAATTGCCAGCAGTGGAGCTATTCTTAATCCCATTGCCAAACCGCGATGTTGAGCGTAAACTTTTCGTCGAATTGGAAAATATTGCACTCCAGAGTAGCCTTGAGTAAATCTCTCAATTCATCCTCGTCAAGTCCAAAAGTGTAGATCTCTTCTCTGTGCCTTTGCCACAAGGCCAACAATGCTTCAATTGCATCCCGTGTGTTGACGTTGGTATAGAGCGAGACTGCATCAAAGCTTGCGTAGTGTACACTTGTTGGAATTTGTCGTTGACTGAGGGAAGTAATGAAGTCCCCAGTATTTGTCAAATGTGACGTTACCTTGTGCAAAAGTGGAGAAAAGATTTTCACCAACAGCCAACTTATTCTGTCAGATGGTCCTCCACAGCTTGAAATTATGGGACGGGTTTTGATGTCCCTATCCGTGAGATTGTCCAATGTGTTATCCGCAATTTTGTGGGTTTTAACCAAAGAGTAGTAGGTAGGAATACATGGAGAGGACGAAATGAAGCGTCTCACTGTTCCCGCGTCTACCTTCCCATTCAGCACTGTTTTTATGTCTTCGTTTTTGAAATCTCTTGAGGACTCTTGATGTAAGATTTATTGGTTAGCTTTCGCTGTGATAACAGCTTCTTCAGACCTACAAAACATCAAGCATATTACAATACTTCAAACCTAGGAGACATCAACATAATAAACATTAACTGACCAGGCCGATGCTCTCGCTAATGGTAAGTTCTGCAAAGCACAATTCAAGACCTATCAGACTATTGTACAAACCAGGACAACAAAACGATGATCACAGATGATCACCAGGACAACAAAACAAAATAAACATCAGAGAGGAGGCCATGGAGGCTATGAGACTTCTGAGTTAACGGTGGATAAAAGCCAGTACTGTGAAATAGTCACGTACTGCTCATTCCCAGTGATTTTTATTTTATTAGCAACTGCACTAGAGTGAGGTGATCATCGTTTTGTTGTCCTGGTTTGTACAATAGTCTGATAGGTCTTGAATTGTGCTTTGCAGAACTTCCCATTAGCGAGAGCATCGGCCTGGTCAGTTAATGTTTATTATGTTGATGTCTCCTAGGTTTGAAGTATTGTAATATGCTTGATGTTTTGTAGGTCTGAAGAAGCTGTTATCACAGCGAAAGCTAACCAATAAATCTTACATCAAGAGTCCTCAAGAGATTTCAAAAACGAAGATATACAATTTATGAGGCTCAGGGATAGTTCCATAATATCTTAACTGTTTTTATGGTTGTTTCAAGTCGTTTAGAAGCCCGGTCAAACGACTGAAAAGAAGACTCTGTGTAGGTGCCACGATCTTCCAGACTACGGAGAGTAATTGCCTTGTCCATTTCTTTGGTGATAACAACAAAATCTCCGCTTTTGTCTCCAACAGTATATCTCAATTCCCTTTTCTTGGCTAATAACTTTCTGAGTCCTCTCTTCTCGTCTTCGGTTAGATTAGAACCAAATGTTTGTGTGGCTGTTGAATAAATATCTTTGAGTTGTTGGTGTAGAGTAGTCAACAACGGTTCGAGGGCGGGAATCGGCTTTGGAATGGTGCAACTGTCTCTTGGGAAAGGTGTAGCTGCGAGGATGGTTGACTTTCTATCCAACACTGTTGGTCCGTTATGTTCTCGCCATCTCAGTAGAATGCAAATTTGTTGAACCCAAGGTTAACCGCATTCATAGTTCTCTCGGTTATCGATTCTGCAACGGAAAATGAAGGCCCTAAATTCAGTGCGGCCTCCATATCGTGATCCACCTCATCCGTGCCTAGACCGTACATCTTTTGGGTGGTATCGCATCCCATTTTATGAAGGAGTTCGGCTTTAAGTCGGCATTTCCACGTAAGTTTTCTAGCTTGCTATTGAGTCGAGTTCGTTCAATCCGACGTAGTTGCGAGCATACTGTTTGATTTCTCATCGTGAAGGCTTCCCACAATTGTCCATTTATTCGTGATCTCAGGAAATTTCGCGAAGAAATAATTCCATCGATACATTTCCCTCGACGGTGGCGTCGATCAGCGATGCTCGCATCCAGCAAAGATGTTTTTAGTTTTGCTAGATTCCTTTTAACTCCATCGTTGTTGGTATAAGGTACCACCCGGAATAGGTTTTCCAGGAAGTTAGGTATCAGGCGGAGTCTTTTGCATTCGAGGAGAAACTTTATGGATTCATCGTATGAAGCAGCCGCTTGGTGAAAAGCTGCATATTTCAGCAAAACAGCAAAAATATACCTGCTGATCTGATGTTCTCGCTGCAGGTCTTTAAGATATCTTAGTATGGAGTAGCGGACGGCTCCCCTTTTACACAGCCGGACTCAACGAGCGATCTCGGAACCAGCAGGGTCAAGTCAGGAATTCTTAATAACTCCTGGCTTGAGGGGAAGCGGGTCCTACGGTTTCCTTGGAGCGGTAGTAGAAGACGAGTAGAATAGACTTTATTAACAGAGCGAATATGTCGCAGTAGAATATCAGAAGAAGACTAACTAGTACTGACTGGGGGGCTATTTATAGGAGGGGGTTCCCGCTCAAAAGGTAGATTGGGTACGAGTGTGTATGTAGGTCAAGGAGGGTCCAGGCGGACCACACGGTTGGTGGTCAGCCTTAGACCCACCCGGGGCGGTCATACGGTAGACCATACTGTAGCGACCTACCGTTACATGCCTCCCCCCACAGAAAGCGGCGTCCCTGCCGCTTCAGTACTACAATGTCTAACTAAACTACTTTATAACAAAACAACAACTCAATAAATACAATTTGCACAAAATTACAATCGGTAATAAGGGAATTATTTCCTATTGACCTAGTGTGGGACAGTCAGGGCCTAATGGGGTCTGGAATAGCCGCGGCGTGCTCCACGTCCTCTTCCACGTTGATAATTGCCTCGAGGCGCGGTTGATGTTGACGGGAACATCCATTGGGGGTATTGGAGAACCGGAATTTGGGGCGGACACATTTGTGGCGGTACCATAGATTGCATCCTGTAGTGACTATTCCTAAATGGAGTAAAGGTGCGCCTCGATTTTCCTTTCGAAATTCCTGCAGTCATTTGCTTCTTTTGCTTGAAATAGAGACGCGTTCGAGAGGAGCGGCTCCTCGTAGCGCCTTCCAGTGGAGGTAAGTCTACCTCTGCCTTGACGTATATCCTCAGCGTGTCGTAGTACTCTTTGATCACATCTCTAGAGTATGCCTCTGCGCTGGAGCTTCTTGGGTGAGCTCCAGGTCCATGCGATGGTTCCTGTGACGATTCGATAACCGGAATAAGACATCGTAATCCGTGTTTCATGAGTACTGCTGCGGATTTGGACCAGTTCGATTGTGTCTATCATATCAGTTCTGTTTCGTATGTACGAGTTATCTCCTCTAGGAGGAGCAACAGCTAACACCTTAATGCCCGTACGAGCTGCCGCGGCTAGTGATGAGGCGAGTTTGCACCAGTCGCGTTTAGGAAGGGGCTCATCTGTCGTCGGGCCCACTAATACACAAGTCCGGGCGACTGCTCTCTCCAGAAATCCTGAAATCTCACTGAGCCTGGTATACAGTCTGCGCTCCACGTTCTCGTTCTCCCTGAACGCTCCGGTAATGGCACGAAAACTGTCCGGTAGGATTAGCAGCGTCTTATTCGGTTCATTTCGATTCACTTCGTCCCAGTTGTTTGCCTGTGCATATCGAACGGCCTCGTTGGTTGCTTGGTTGAGTTGGTCCATCGGCCAGCCTGTGCCACCGTCGTGGGCGAGACAAAGAAAGGACCCGTCGTAGAGGATCAACGACCGAAAAACGTGGTCACAAAACTTCTTGTAAAACAAGTAGGCCTTTCTGCACTCCAGTGATGCTGATGCTAAAGTGTTTTTGGTCTAGCATGAGGAAACGCTTCCGTTCCTCATTCCTCTCATGGTCATATATAGACAACAATCTGGCAAGGCTAAATATCGTATCAAAACGGAGATTTGCTATCGCTTCTGAGGCGTTCGGCACCACATCCTTGAACGTTTTCTCTTGAATCGAGCACGAATATCTGCATCCATCGTCTTGACCATGTCTCCCTGGGCAGCCCTGCAAACAACGTGATTACTATTCGCTTGGCGCCGCCTCTTTCTTTTTGTTCTGGTTGTTCTTACTGAGTTTTCAACTTCAATCGGAACTACGATCAGTGCATCAAATGGAATTCGAATGGGCTCCTCCTTCTCATTAATATTAGATATTAGCGCTGAATTTTCGCTGGTCTCGATAACGCGGTATGGCCCTCCCCAAGGTTCACTTAACTTTGGGTATTTCTTACCAGCTTTTTCTCTTGGAAGCTTTAGGAACACCCTGTCTCCTACTTTTGGCAATTTATCCACATCAATCTTGTTCCTCTTATCATATTCATTTTTCATATGCGTTTTGTATTTGTCATTGAGCGCTTTGGTGCACTCTTGCGCCAACTGAATGCCTGCCAGGAGCTCGTGCTTGTAATCATCTGTGTCGAGGTGGTTGAAAGAAAGCTGATCGCGAGGAATCACGTTTGATGGGCAGTTGGGATCGAACGCATGCAGTAAATAGAATGGACTCTCTCCTATAGCATCATGTGGAGAAGAGTTATAAGCAAAGACTACCATCGGTAACAGCAAGTCCCAATCAGCTGGAATTATAGTTTTCTTCCGCAGCATTCTTGTTAGCGTTCCAATAGCCCGTTCTGTCATACCATTTTCGCGGGGGTTGTACCCTTTTGTAGCTGATTGTTTAATTCCTGTTATTTCACAAATGCCTGACAACACTGAATTGATGAACTCAGGGCCCTGATCTGAGTGTATCTGCTTAGGCCACCTGCATCCGTCGCATATCCATCTTTCAAAGAACGCGCGAGTCACCGTCTCGGCGGACTTGTTTGGAATAGGATAGGCGCCTACAAATTTCGAAAAGTGATCTATGACCACTAACGCATATTTGTTGCCTCTCTCAGTTAATCCGTACTCCACCAAGTCTAACCCTACAAGTTCGTAAGGTGCGTTTGTGGTAAACGGCTTCAATGGAGGAGTGAGAATTTCATGGGTTCTGGACAAAAAACAGCTTGAACACTCTTTAGACCATTTTCGTGATATCCGTCTCCATACCTTCCCAAAATACTATCTTTTTAAGCTGACGATACAACTTCCGTCCATTGAGGTGCCCCGCCATTGCACCCCCATGGGCTTCCTCAAACACAGCTCTCCGTTTTGACTTCGGTACCACTCTTACTGCTGCATTTCCGCACAACATTTTAAGGTCACCGTTATCGATACAGAAGTCTGCAACCCTGAATCGCTGCGCATTTCTCGGGAGCTTAACGTCCTTGTGATCTTGTTTGTGCAACACATCGGTGATGAGCTGTTTGTAGTCAGGATCTTCTTTTAGCTCCTGCAGCCTAGCTGCTGGAGTTTGGTATTGCGCAAGACAGTGGCGCAGCTAGGTAGCGCGCTTTGATCTTGAAAACGCTCGGTCAAGCTTCAGCGGGCCGACTCCAGGAGTTGGGCGGGTCCAACCTGTACAAATTCTTAGTCAATTTCGCGAAACCCGCTATGAACTTTCTGTAATACGAGGCCATTCCCAAGAATGTCCTTAGCTCTGCGGCACTTGTGGGTAACGGATACTCAGCGATCTTGCGTATCTTCTCTGGGTCCGTCCTCACTCCGTCTTTGTCGATGTAATGTCCGAGGAACGACACGCTTCTCTCGGAGAGAAGGTACATTTTTGTGGCTTTAGCCGCAAGTTTGCTTTACGTAGCGCCTCAAACACTCTCCGTAAAACTACGTAATGTCGCTCTATTGACTCTGTGGCTACTAGGATGTCATCAATGTACACGAAAAACTTCGTCTTCTAGCTCCAAACCTTTTAGAACCATGTCCATCATTCTTTGGAAAACTGCTGGGCTCGTTGATAAACCAAAAGGCAGCACCGTAAACTGGAACAAGCCCTCACTCGTTGTGAATGCACTTTTCCGTTTCGCATCTTCGGACAGACGTATTTGCCAATATCCGGAGGCGAGGTCCATCGTAGAGAACACTTTCTTCCCAGCGAGACATTGTAGCACGGTATCAATTTTTGGTAAGGGGTACGAATCTTGCCGAATCACCTTATTCAACTCTCTGTAGTCTATGCATACTCTCAGAGTGCATCTTTCTTCCTTACCAAAACCACCGGAGACGCCCACTCAGAGAAACTTCTTTCAACTATGCCTCTTCCTACCAGATCTTTGATAGTTTCTTTGAATTCCTTGCGTGCTGCTATGGGAACAGGCCTAGTTTTTTGCCTTATGGGCTTATGATCCCCTGTGTCGATCTCGTGGACCACTAGATCAGTTTGCGTCAACTCTGCGTCGGTTACAGCAAACACATCGTTAAATTCCTTCAACAACGCTGCTGCTTTATCAGGTATTGGATTTTGGTCTAGGATAATTTTCATTAGCCTATCATTCCGACTCTCGGAAGAAGCACTGTTTTAGGTCTATCCAGATCCAGCATATTCCTTTCAGGCTCGATATACCTTGGCCTTAATCCAAGCGTTATCTTCCCACTCACCTACTAGTTCTCCTTTTTTGAAAACTAAGCCTTCATTCGAGTGGTTAACTACAGGTATGCTGACCTCATTTCTGTCTGCCAAACAGCAAATACCATCCGGTATGAATGGGTGACTAGAGCAGAGGAGTGGCGTATCTACTGCAGAAACCCGTGAACATGTCAACTTTAGCATGCCTACCGCCTTTGGACGGAACATAAGTCCTGTTTTGACTCTGGCGCCACACTTAGATTTGCGTTGCTGGTCAACTGCTCACTTCTGGTGTCAGGGATCTTCAACAGCCTTAGGTTATACAACTCTAAAGTTTCGGTGGCCCAAATTACACATCGTCTGCTTCTTCCCAAAGGCTGTACCGTTTTTTGGCGTCAAATTGTTATGTACCCGGATAGTGTCCAGAAATTCCATTACGTTTCCTGACGCGTCTCGCACTTTGGTTATCTGGTCCGGGTATGCGCTCAATGTGCTCATCCAAATCTATCTTTATCTATCGCTTTCTTTAACAGTTTCACCGGAATGATGGTCGTTTGGGAGCCTGTATCTAATAGCGCCGGTTGCTTCGATACCACATAGCATTATACCTGCTGGCTTGTCCCCAAACAGCTCACTTGTTTCCGACTCAGGTACCCGAAACGATGTGCACACCCACTTTTCTACTAGGGAGGCGTAGGCTGCATTAGGCCTCTGCTGAGCACTCACTGTTGATGGGGTACTTTGTTGCCTGCCAAGTCTATCACGACAATCTTTGGCTAGATGCCCCATGTTACCGCAGTTATAGCACCTTGGTGAACCATTCTCCCGTTTTTCTTTTGAAAATTGGGCGCGGTTTGCGGTCTGTGTCCTATCGTAGGTTTAGATGCTTTTTCCGGGTCGCTTCTCGGGCTACTTTTTGGGCTTCTGTCGTCGATCGGTTCACCTCGTCTAAAGGTAAGTTGCCCGTGCCTAATTTCACTTCTTCTTTGATCTAACCGTCTGCACTCTTCGGCTGTTTTTAGGCTTCTCTCTAACCTTAGGGCTGCCTCCTTTACTTTTTCATAAGCCTCTTCACACTTACTGGTCTCCAATGCCTCAGTAAGGCAGTAACTTCCTACCCAATTAGCTTACGTATTAAAGCACATTCTATCTATCAAAATTACATGACAGCCTTCTACACCGACGACATCAGAAGATTTTCCCACGGAAACATGGTTCACGGTACGAGCTCAACGAGGTCGTCGAGGTACCATAGACCATTACGACGTCCCTGAAACGCTGGTCAAAAGCGGTTTTGCATAGTCACAGCTAGTGTCTCTGGGAAGCTATTCACCAGTTAATCATTGAAGAAATTATGTAGCAGCTTCAGGCCGGAGCGATTACGGTAAGCCTCGTTGAGCTCGACGGTGACGGCAGATGACGTCATATTCTGAAGACGGTGGGGCAGTGAAGGAGGGCCTGCTTCTGTTTACGGGGGAACACCTAAGGAATATTTGCCGTAAAACTTTCATTAACATCGGCACCCTGTGCGACGAAAAGTTCGATGATGTGCGCCATGGGCAAAGTGTCTCTTTTTTTTGGCCACCCCTGTATAATCTCGGCCTTCTGCAACGAGGTTGCTTCAGGTGGCATGTCTGGGTATGCCCTATTCGCTAGGCCCTCTAAGGCAAAGCAGAATTCGCTAAGCGGCTGACCAGGTTTCAACGCTAGTAAGCGCAGATTAGCTAGGGCTTTAACGCGCTGACTATTCCCATCTATGCGCATTCTAGCTTTCATTGCCTCGATCACCCCATCGTACGTACCTTCACGTATCTCTCTTGGCAAAGTCTCGAATACCGTCAGCGCATTTTTTCTGAGGAAACTTTGAAATAATTGCACTCTGTTAGAGTCCCTCCACTTTTCCTTGGGGTACTTCATGTCAAAGGAGTTCACAAATCTTTTAAAGCATTCGCCTGGCCTACCAGAAAAAGGCTGCACTTCTGGTAATGACATGGTGCGAATGTAATCACCCAGTGAAAACTCAATCGCCTCACCTGTGGCCGATGATTGTCGCATTTCGTGACATTGCTCGAAGTCTCCTCTCCGCATAGTCTCGTAACACTGCTGGTGCGATGGCGTCCAGATCCTTGAGGAGTGTCTCTGTAATGGTTGCCAATAACATGCTGTTTTTCCATTGAATCATGTTGTCTCATTGAATTGGACTCACCCTGAGCTGCTTCGGCGCTGTTATCATGATCCATGGGGGCATTTGCCTTACGTTGCCCCAGCTCTTCCACCTCTTGGCGCAGTTGCTCGATCTGTAAGTCCTTTTGAATTAGTTGCAGACGCAGCTCGTCGGAAGTCTGCCTCTCTACACTCAAGGCTGTGGACAATCCTTTGGCTCTCATACTTACTTCAGAATCGTGACAGTGCAAAATTCCGCACGCCTCTTCTACTATTTTAGTCATTGCCGTACATTTTTTTATGTGCTCTTGCAGCTGACTTACGCTGCTGATTTGCACTCCTCTCAAGAGATCAAAAACGCGTTCTGCTACTTTAGGCCTACTCAGCTCGCTTATTTCGGCGAGTGTTGCCTTCGCTATTTCTTTAACGAACGCTACTTGCTCTCTAACTGACGCTGCCACACTGTCCCGTCTGGGGTCATCAGTGCGCATCGATTTTGCTAACTCATTGTCACAAGTGACCCCTACGGTAGCCACCTGGCTGAGCAAAGCCATTTTTGTTCTAGAAAAAATAATCTTTATTCACACAACTTCCTCCTGTGTAGTAGGCAATCACGTTCCACGACAGATATGTCTGACTATGAAGCGTAGTACTTATCGAAAATCACGGTCAATCAGAGAAACGGAGTTCGATAATCAAATAGGGCGATCGAAAGGAATAAATAGGTTACAAACTGAGAGAAATCAGACCACGCTCAGAATTCCACAGTTGCTATCAATCACTCCCGACCACTAGTTCAAAGTCGAAGTCACGGCTTATCCGGAGTTCGACACCAACCCTTTCTCGATCTAGGATCACGACTCACCAACTAGTCGAAATATGTCGTATCGATCCTAGTCCACCTTACAATCGAATCTATATTTTCAGACACAGGTCGAATTCACGGCGTACACCACCGGAGTTCGACAAGAGCTTTTAACTCAATTGCAGGTCACGACTATAAGTCGCAGAACAGTAGTCGCAGTTATTGCTACTATCAATCGATTCTTTTACTCTCAATACACTGTCGAAATCACGGCTCACACCGGAGTTCGACACGCAAGTTCTCTCGATCGAAAGTCACGACTGTAACCTAGTCGGAGTTCGATCCTATCTACTATCAATCGAATCTTTTACTCTCAATTCACCGTCGAAGTCACGGCTTACACCGGAGTTCGACTCTCAAGTTCTCCTCGATCGAAAGTCACGACTGTAACCTAGTCGGAGTTCGATCTCGATCCCACTAACTGTCCTCGCTCCTAGCTCACGTCCTTGCTCCAAGTTGGCTTGGCCCCAAGTAGCGGACGGCTCCCCTTTTACACAGCCGGACTCAACGAGCGATCTCGGAACCAGCAGGGTCAAGTCAGGAATTCCTGATAACTCCTGGCTTGAGGGGAAGCGGGTCCTACGGTTTCCTTGGAGCGGTAGTAGAAGACGAGTAGAATAGACTTTATTAACAGAGCGAATATGTCGCAGTAGAATATCAGAAGAAGACTAACTAGTACTGACTGGGGGGCAATTTATAGGAGGGGGTTCCCGCTCAAAAGGTAGTGTGTAACCTCGCCTTCAAGAAGACCAGAAAGTTGTGCAATTGCAGAAATTGACGTGGCATCGATTCAAGAACATCTTTGAGCACACGTGACGTCACCTTTTCATCGAGAATTTAGCCACGTGGATTTCTGGCTGCACGAAACAGAGGTTATGTAGGTCAAGGAGGGTCCAGGCGGACCACACGGTTGGTGGTCATCCTTAGACCCACCTGGGGCGGTCATACGGTAGACCATACTGTAGCGACCTACCGTTACAATGGTGCTGTCCCGAAGCCTCATAAATAATCTTTTCATGTTCCGCTTGTGAAAAGGGTCGTTTCATGGACTTCGGCCTCTGGCGGAGGGGGGGGGGGTCGTATTTCCAAATTTTCCTCGACGCCTCGCTTAACTCTGCTGGCAACTACTTTGGCCCCACACAAAAAGGTGTTTATGACGATCGGCTACAAACCTGAGATTCCTCCTAGTCCTTATATGGTTCATGGGCTTACTATCTCTCCTGTCAAGTGTGCAAAAGGTCTGGGTTCCCAACACCAATACTTTCGACTTCTATTAGTGCATGCGACCTCTGTGTAAATTAGCTCTATTGCGTACTTCGCATATTCTCAAGGAATTATCATCTACGAAGAAGTCCATCCTTCTAGAGGCATGTAGAAATAGTTCGTTTGATGGATACACGCGGTGCAGTGTTTCATCCCACCAAGAGAAAGAATGTTGAGACACTTGTGAAGGCTGAAAACGATTTCATGCGCAAAAATCGTTCCCGGTGTAGGTGTTGTTTGTATTCTAGGAGTCCAAAAGCGTCCTTCGTAACAATACTCGGAATTCCGCACTTGACTCACGGCGCAGAGCATCTGTCAGAATATGGAATTTCGCGGTTTGAATTCAATTTTTTTTATTCTCACTCCAAAAGAGTCCGCATAGCAGCTCGAGCAACTCCCGGCTTGTGGGTGATTCAAAAACGCAGACTGTGTTACTGTGAGTGGTCGATATTACGACTGTTTGATGTTCTCCTTGATCTTGAACTTCTGTAGGGAAGTGGCGATTGGTCGGGTTATTGACTCGATATTTCCAGGCACTGACGGAGGACGGAGGCGATCCCGCAAAACGTTAGGCGATGAAAAGTTTTTGACATCCTCGTAGAGATTATTAGAAATAAGCAAAATTATTTTCTGGCCCATCGTGTCCGTCGACGGCTTCATTTATCTTTTTTTTCCGCCACGATTTTGTTTTTGCGGTGTATTTTTCATCTTTTTTCGGTTACTGGTCATCGACCTACACGATCATCTCGTAAACCCCGTACAACAAAGGTCATGATCAATGTTTCTAAAGCCGTGCACATCGCGTCACCGGGAACACTTCGAGGAACTGAAGGCTCGTTGGATAAAACACTTCCGTAAATAATGTAGCTGAGTGTGCGAAGCTGAAGGTGACGAAAGCATGGTACCACGTGTAATGATTCGTATGTCTTAAGCCGATGTCAGGTTTTGGAAATAAAGCGATTCGCGCTAGAACCGACCACTGAGGCGCAAGTAGGCAATCCGCCAAATTGCAGTCTGACACCGGTCTTAGGCCGATGTCAGACTTTGCGAATCCAGCGATTCGCTAGCGAATCGCGGGAATGAGCGTTGCACCAGCGAATCGAGCTGTGTACCAGCGGATCGAACTATGTGCCAGCGGATCGAACGATGTACCAGCGACTCAACACTGTTTGAAAGTGGCGGGACTCCCTCTCGTTTGCATGTTGACTCTCGCCACTTTCCCGAGTACTCATACCCTCTCATGCCTTCGTGAGCCCGGTGCGGTGGCAAAAGCCAAGGTTCAAAAGAATTCCACCACTTTCAGTGTTGAGTCGCTGGTACATCGTTCGATCCGCTGGCACATAGTTCGATCCGCTGGTACACAGCTCGATTCGCTGGTGCAACGCTCGTATAAGCGATTCGCTAGCGAATCGCTGGATTCGCAGCAAAGTCTGGCACTTGCCCTTACGGATTCGGATGGATTACACGACTTCGCTCGCACAGAAGTCGAGTGTGTTGACATCTGCGTCCCGATAATCCCTGCGCTCTATCGTATCGTCTCCAAATGTTCCTTGCCCACAAGTCGCCGACGGCTTAAATGCCCATATTTCCATTGTTTCAGTGGTCTCTTTGCATTCTTTCCTCCCCAGAGGACCGATTCTCATCATCACCTTCATACTCGTGCGCGTTACCACACATTTTTTTAAAAAAAAATCAGTGATATAATAACGCCCCGAATGTGTACCGAGGATTGCTGTCATGTGTAACAAGGATGGATCAAAGCCAAATATTACTTTTCCCATTCATGTTCAAGTTCGTGTGATGTAAAGATTGCAAGGTCAGAATGTCCACGTTCCGCTAGCGCGCCAATAAACAGCCAGTTGAATCGACACAGCCAAAACTTTCGCGTCAAATCGGTAAAGTGTGTGATACAATATTCGTATACACTGGGTAAGTGTCAAAGACAACTCATGACTTTTGTAAAAGAGGAAATATGACAAGAAGAGAGAAAAGGTGAACGCCCTGAAAATTTTCCACTGGGGGTAGTCACCCTTCACCCGATTTTGGATGCGTGCGAGTTCATTAGCGAGATGTAGTTATGTCGCGCGTGGGAAGCCACGCTGTCGCAACGTGGACCTCATAACCCGCATGCGATGTAAAACCGACTCTGGAAAAGGAGGCAGCATCCTGGCAGTAAATCGATGAGAGAAACAGGACGCTTCAAAGCAAGACCAAGTGAATTATAAAAGAAAAAATATTAAATTGGAAACAAAAGGGCAAGTTGTGCAACCATATTAGTGTTAATGTCAATTATAAGATGACGGATTTCACATTGCTCAATCACTAATAAACGGCTCAAGTGACCTACCAAGCAAAAGTAACCTATTATACATCCAAAGCCTGTTCTACACAAGTGTTCTTTACGGCTATTTCGTTCACATCGATAAGCTATCTCAAAAAAAACTACCCCTATGACGGCGATGAGAAAAAGATGGACAATCCTATCAAGTTCGGAAGATAGTAATCAATTTCCATGAATTTCAGAATATCTCATTTCAAGACACGACAGTCATGCATACCAACAATTACCAAATTTATCACCTATCAGTGAGCAATTATAGCAATTGGGAAATCTACTTCTTGGACCGACTGAGGAAAGCAGCTATAGCAGCTGCGCATTCTTTTGACTGCCAACGCTCGCATATAGTTTTGCACTCGATCTGAAAGTAAATACGTGCAGCAATACCTTTCAGACACGATCAATAAATGAAAATAAGCGTCCAATTTAGAAACGCACTTCGTTGACTTTTGTTAGCATATCTTTGTGGAAAGATCGAAGCAGCATTTTATTGACCCGTAAGCTTTCTGGAGGGAGGGATGAGTGCTGCTTGACAACGGCTGCAGCCTTTTGCTTGGAATTCGTCATGCGGAACAACCTTTAAATAATTATATCCATTTTGGAAAGAACCCCAAATAAATAGGAACATTCGAGGAAAATGGAAATATCATAGCAAACCTCATTCACGAGTCCCGCTTCGAGCGCTTGATGAGCAGAGAATTTTTTGTTGAGAATCAGAAACTAAACATTGTGATTTACACAGAAGACTACCAATCTTGGCAATCTCACATACCTCTGATGCACGGAGTTGTCCCATGAGAATCGGGAAGGTGTAGGACGACGCACCTTCTGGAGATTGTCCAAGCGTGGAGAATGGAGTGTGGAAGGTGCTCTATGTCAGGTAAAGAGACGTTGACAACTGAAATCAGAATCAAAATAATAATAGTACCTTGTCTGTAGCAAGGACGTAGTCAAACAGCGGCAAGACGGTGACGGCGATGCCTACGGCAGGGCCGTTAATGAGGCATACCAGGGGTTTCTCATGATCAATGTAAGCCTAAAAATGAAAATATTGACTAACGAGTTAATCAGAATGAAACTATCTTAACACCTTGACGACAGCGCGGCAACTATGTATGCCGCCATTTTGCACCATCGGACATTGTGGCAACTATGTATGCCACACCCATTACATTTATTTTTTTCGCACATGCCCGACTTCTTCCAAGTTTTTTGTGTTCATTCTATAGGCCATACATCAACATAACCAAAAACCACGTGGCTCACAGAATGCCAAATATTCTTTAGTTTGGTAGAGCTTTCCGAACCTTAAAGGAATCTTGCGCGGAAAAATCATGATTCTATTTCAGCCATAAATCACTGGCTTGAGACTCATTATCCACGATAATAGTGAAAAGAACTGAAGTATTGCTTTCGTTTTGATTAGAAATTCGAAAACTCGAAAAGGCTGCTACGCGTTCGAATTGCCCACGGACGTCTTTCACGAATGCTGGCGACGGGGATGCTCAAACTTGGTTCTTGGAGTGCATTCACTAGAAGCTCTTTCTGGCCTTCTGCTTCGTTGCATTCACATCTTACACTTCTACTCCATCCTATTCCATCGATCGATTTGTCTCCACTCTCCGAAATCGCGCGCTTTAACCCGATTCTCTCATTGCGTCGCCTGGTACGTAGCCGGCCAAACGCCGTCTTCTTTCCATGCCTCGCCTGGCTCTGCCTCCTGGTCCTTCGATGGTCCATAACGTGTAGTTTTTGTACGTTTGTTTCTCTTCAGAAACCGAATCTTCATGCGTGAAACTTTGTGTGCTATTTCCAGTGATCACAACTGACATATTCATGTTAGGAAAGAGTGCAAGAATTTTCCGCGCAAGATTCCTTTAAGAGAATACCCTTTCAGTTCATTCCTCACTTTCTTTTCATTAACGTTAACACATAGATAAAAAAGAATAATAGAAGTGAATACAAACCTATTCGTATGGAAGATATGTGTTTTTACTGAAACAACCACGTCCAAATTAATTTTGGAACCACTAAAGGAAAGTAAGTAAAATTTGCCTTTTCATGGCCTTAACACGTCATTTCGGTCGAACTTCCATTACTGTAACTCCCGATAAGTTAGACAGATCGAACATTATTGAAAACCTTTGTCGCATACAAGTTTGCGTATTTACAGCTCAAAATCCACGGTTTAAGTGATGCGACGGCGCCTGCAAAATCGCGCTAGTCCCACGCGGCCGGAAATGCCAAAACGCGCGATCTCGTCAAGGTGTTAAAAAAGACAATTCCATATGATATTTAAGGAAACCAAAAGCACTAGGCGAACATAAGTTGACTTAAATACCTGGATATACTCTTTCAAAACCACAGCAGCGGTTTCGGCCATTTCCTTAACTTCTTCTTTGCTGGCAGAAGCAGCTTTCGCGAAATTACTGAGATCATTGCCAGAACAGAAGAAATCTCCGGCGCCTAAATAGTCAGTTAAGCCGATATGCATTCGAGTTTGATCGAGCTAACCTGTTATAACTGTGATTGAGGTTGATTTATCTTTATTCGACGCGTCTAGAGCGGCCATAATCCCCTTGTACATATCCAAGGGTTATTGCGTTGAATTTCTTCGGGCGATTAAGTTTGATTTGGAAAGCTTTGCCTTCCACGGATACCTGCAATATTGCCCTGTAGTTATCCAGACGACCACATTTTCCGCAAATGCTATCAAAAAATCCTGAAGTCTATTGGTACAATACTGCCAGATCCTTAGTTAATGAATCCAGCCCTGCTCACTCATGTTGATGGCACAATTTCAGAAATGGTCCCCGATAAACCAACGAGAGAATGAGGAAACAATTCCACACTCATTCTTCTCCTAGTTTCTTCAGAACTTTTCTCAAGACTTATTGGATAGCTACAGTGGGAAATACTCAAGTAACATCATTGAAGTCGTTCAGCAAGGAGAAAATCACATCACTTGCCAAATCTAGCTTCGCTACCGTAGAACGGTGGGAAAACAGGACGCCAGTTCAACATCACCACATGGATATAATTCCATGTGCCATTAAAAGCCCTCTATACAGATCAGGAAAAACCTTCTCCAATCTACTCGAACGGGGTAGGGGGTGCTCCTATTTGTGATTCTGGGAGGAGTCGTGTTTGAGGATAATCAAGGGTAACTATCTCTTGTAAGAGAGCACAATGGTTGACCTACGACAATGTTTTTTGCATAGGCCATAAATGACTCAAAGTCCCCATCTGCTCCACTGTTAGGGAAAATTAAACTGCAGGGACGTGCCGCGGAACAAAGACACTTTGAAAGCATCGTATCGGTAGAAGTGACCATGAGAGAAGAAAAACTGATTAGACGAGAGGAAACTGAACTCACATCCAGCCCTTCAACAGGCTTCAATCCCATTGGAGTGGATCCAGCCGCTGGCGGAGGTGACTGTTCACCCAGTAACGATTCAACAATTTTGGCGTATTTCGCTTGCGCCTCTTCCTGACAAAAGTTTGGTAAGCCAAGCAAAAGGGTAAGGTAAGGTATCCTACCTTGCTTATTCCTTTAACCTTAGTCCAAGCATCGAATTTTGCCCTACCAGCAAAGTCCATCATTCCTGGACGGCTTCCTTGGACGTCTCCAACAGTAGCCTGGAATATCATATAAACATTGAATTCTGAATTCCCGAGGTTAGCGCGATTCACACCTGCTTAAATAGGGCATACATTTGCAGTTTAACGTCCACATCTGGCTCTTCTGTTAGAGTCTTCACGTTTGCCTGAGCTTTCTCAAACAACTCCTGGTTAGAAGCGAATGTTCTAGAATGAGACCAAGGTGATCACAAGTAAAGTATGAAAACACTTGACAGAAGAATCGGTATGTAGACTAGCCAGAAAAAAAAACCTGAAATATCCACAAAATCCAATACACCCTTCTATCGCATATCGAGCCTGCGACAAAAGAACACGGGGAGACAACCATCACTTCAGGGACTGTCCACAATCTTACTGTTAGTCAAAATCCACATTCTGTACCACGAGTGTGCGAGGAATACGCGAAATGTGCAGAGCACCGATGCACAAGGGCTTGCAGCAAGCCTCAAGCAGTGGATGGGTCCCCTCACCCGATGTCGGGTGTGGTTCACTAGGACAGAAAGCGACTTTTTCGCGTTTCGCAGCGCGAAACATTTTTCGCTGCGGGAACCTCAGGTCCACTGATGATCAGCGGTGGACCTGACCGCAGCGAAAATGTTTCGCGCTGCGAAACGCGAAAAGTCGCTTTCTGTCCTAGTGAGCCACACCCCCCCCCCCGTCGGGGATATGTCCCCAACCTCGGCGGACATATCCCCATTCTAATCTTCAACAAGAGACCATTCAAGATTTCGTCATGTGACCTATTATTCTTCGATGGGTTCTGTGACACGACCAACGCTGAAATGTGCTACAAAGACAAATACGCGTCAATTCATTTCACCCTTACCCCGTCGTGGGTAAGGGTGCGCAATCAATTATGTGTATCTACTCTTTGTACCCGCGACAAGGGTAAGGGTACGAATGAATGTAAAATGCAAAAAATGTGAGTGCAGATATGCAAGCTCTGGCAAACAATCTCCGACAATCTTCCGAAAAGATGCCTTCATACATAGCGCCGGTGCGGACGGTGCGGGCGCTGCGGGCGCTGCAGACAGGACGGAAAGTGCGAAGAACGTCAACACAGGATGCTCGCGCATGATTGGAGAGGCTAGAGTTTGCTTGATTACACAGTTTTGACTACGCGCTAACATCATGCGCCCGCATTCTACACTGACGCTTTCCGTACTGTCCGCAACGCAGCAAAGTATGGAAGCAGGGAAGCATTGCGGTGCAGGTCCCAAGCTTTGAAATCACCCAAGCATTTCCCTTTATTCTTTTACTGAAACGCTCTGAGACTAAGCCAAGTGGGGGAGGGGGTAATGGAGACGCAAAAGTACGTGAGCAAGGGTGTGGTTCGCTAGGAAAAAGCGATTTTTTAAATCGCGAAAGGTCACGAGTGGACCTGGCGTTCCTGAAGCGAAGATGTTTCGCGCTGCGACGCGAAGAATTTGCTTCCTGTCCTAGCTAACCACACCCATGAACGATTCTCGTTTTCCCACGAGTTCCTCCCCTCCCTTCTAGGCACAGCACTGGAAGCTGAGAAAGTTTCACCTGCTACAATCGTTCATCTTAAGACGCACCCCTGTCTCTCTCAACCTTAGGATTGCATAGGACGCGTCCCCTAGGGGGAAGGATAGGAACAGCCCTTGGAGGAAACGCCACAAGCCGCGATCTTATACGTGTGCCCATACTGAAGATTCGGGAGTGACGCTGATAATGCGATCCTATGGGAACCCTACAATAAGCAAATCTCAGGAGACGACGTACCTCATGGGGATGTAGGCAGACCGACATAACGAATATAATGAGCTCGAATAACGACTGATCATCTGGAACAGAATAGTTATTTTTGCCAAGTCCGAGTGCTCGTTCGCTTTATTCGCAAAAAGGCGGGGCGAACATCCTTAGTTCCCCTCCGCTGTTTTGTGCTCATCATAGGTTCATCAAGGGCTACTCCCTTTTCTGATAAGAATATGATTAGCACAAAGCAGCGGAGGGGAACTCTTCAACAATTCTCTCAGTCTTCGGCACCTGCGGAATCCCACAAGAACCAAAGAAGGCTGAAACATTGCATATGAAGTCACTTCAGTGCGGTGATAGTGAATGTAGCATCTGTTTCGACGAAAGCGTCACATGGCGCCATTTTGGCCCTACTATTGCACCTTTTTGCCAAAATATTTATAAACAAAAAACGGGCTCTATACAAGTGGGGTGGGCACGCCCAGCTTTTCACGCATGTCAAGTGACTGCCCTCACCCCACCCCCTAGATTGGCTACACCCCCTGGCTCACGAATTCCCCGATTCTCGTGACAGTATAGTAGCGGGCAGCAGTCCCAAGTATACTCCCTTTCAAAAAACGAGAAGAGCGTCGGGTGCAGACCATACACCACAAGTGACGACGGCCTCCACAAAATGTAAATGTTTTCTGCCAATGAAATGATTAGCCTGTTGCAGTTGTCTATCAGTTGTCACTAATTACAACTATCATTTACCAAAAATCAGCTATCACTATGAACCACTACTAACCAGATTTACTTGGAGGCCGTCGTCACTTGTGGTGTATGGTCTGCACCCGACGCTTTTCTCGTTTTTTGAAGAGGAGGGTACAGCGGTTTATATAGAACCTACATGTGTTCAAAAATGCGGCGTGCCCACCCTTTCTATAGCACCCAATAAATAACCCTTTATAGGTGGGTCCACAGCGCATTTTGTGAAAGCATGTCTTTCTTCAAATTATGCAAAATGGCATAAGATGGTGCTAAAGCTAAAAATGGTCATCGTATTCCCATCACGGCACCGATTTCTCTCATCGCTGAATTTTTGGCGAAAACATGGCTGATGGCTCGAATAATTGAGGTTTTCGGGAGGGGTTATGCGACAAACAGATGCGTTTTGGGCAGATAATGTATTTAACACATTCCTCAGCAGGATAAGAATAGTTTTCCAGCCAGGATATTTAAGCCTGTTACATATGCAAAGGGCTAAAAAAGTGATCGGGCAGGGCGGATTGGTATCATTTGTGTGCCACTACGACGGAACAGCGTTCGTAGCGTACTTTGTACTTTGATGTCTGTCGCCGACCTCGCCCTTCTCGCAATGGCCATGAATCGCGTAAATCGTTGAACACATCGAGCAGTTGTTACCTTTTATTGTTAGTGTTGAAGCCATAATAACAAAAGAGCAAGCCTTAAAGTATTAAAGGATAAGGTATTTGCCATTGATCACTTATTTTTCATTTCAGGCTTGACAAAGGCGCTAAGCGCCGAAAGCTCGCCAAAAAGACCTAAGCTTTTGCAAAACTTTTGCAAACACACTTTTGCAATTTCTTTTGTAAAAAGTTTTGAGTCTTTTGCAATAAATTTTGAAGTCTCACATTGTTTATTACACATTTAGATCAACATGAGACTTCGGGACAGAACAATTCTGAACTATCAAGCAGGGATGAAAGGCTCGGTTGTCCCGGACGGCGTACAAACCAAGATCCGATCCCTGGACCGCGTTGATAAGCACCGCCACTTGCTACTACACCACTTCTGTCAAAAAAAAGCAGGCCTTATCAACACTTTTGTTGCACTTCATTTTTATGCTTTCACAACACACGAGAGATAGCCGGAGTTGTTGTGGGAAGTTGCGCCGCTCTTCATGAGGTCATGGATCAAATTCCATATCGAGTTCTGTCAGTTCAAGCCTTTCAAACCTCCAGTTGAGTAATTCGAATCACTTGGTCTGGGAAGCTGAACACACTGATTTAGACATCGACCGCAGTTGTTGTTGCATTAGGTTGTCGGAAAAGTCTTTGGCCATTTCGATCTGCATGTTGTAAAATCTTCAGGGATAATTTTTGAACATTTATTGTAAAACGTATGTAAACCCTAGTCAATGATCTCTTCAGAGCATTTCTGTCGTGGTTTCTCACAGCGATTATGGCTGAGAAAATCGTTTTGACTGAAAGCATGTTTGGCTGCTCTTGTTTCTAAAACCCAGAAAACGCGTCAAGTGGAAGCGATGCGGCAAGAGCTCACGTCTTGCGATGGAACCCAGAGTGTCTTTCACGACATGGTAAACATTTGGTTGCCGAAGTCCAGAAACTCGAGAAAAATGCACAAATTCGGTTGGCTTGTTCCCTGAATGACGAGTGTCTTCTGGAGCTGTTTGGAAACAGTCTCCGGGCAATGCTCGGGAACTGACGCAGCTTTTTCAAAGTTTTCAGAACACAATAGCTGTTCCTCAATATCTTCTCAAAAAGAAGAGAAATTATGGCAAAAGGAATACGAGAATGATACGAGTTCCATCGAAGAAATGTCGTATATCGGTCTTCTTACACTTCGTTTCCTGGAGCGCGATTACGTTGTACTTGATTCGACTCGCGGCATCAAGCAGGCAACGAAGGTCGGCATCACTGGAGACAGTTCTCGCGTTGTAAGTGCAAATTCTGAGGCAATCTCCATGTCGTGTTCTCGTGTCGTCTTCGTCCAGAGTCCATGACGTTCTACGCAACCCGAGATTGTGCAGCCTCTCGCCGGTCGTCGTACCGCCCAACGTCGGAGGCGGCAGAGCCCAGCGTGCGGGGTACTGAGGCTTTCTTCTTGCGGTTTGAGCTTGAAATTCTCCACTCTAGGATAGCGTAGCTAGCGCGTTCCTATACCTGCACCATAGGCGTCGCTTACCTTAAAGGTCAGAGGAGAGTCCACCTAGCGACAATCGCGATCGGGCCGGTGGTACCCGATAGGATATCCGATGTTCTTGATTGGACAAGGGTTTTTGAGGCGACCCTTAACCGCCTTTTTGCATTCCTATCATCGACTTTTGCAAGCTTTTGGGTAACCAGATACAAACCATCCGTAGCTGATCCTCACCGCAGGATACTTAGCCTACGACGCCTCACAGCCATTTCAGGAATGAACCAAGTTACCACTGCGGAGACAAGGAGTCCATCCCCTGAAACCACCTGCATCTCAAGGAACGCGCAGTCCGCTCTCTCGGCCTCCCTTCCGGAGCATGCTCCAGAGGTGAGTTGCCCGGGTGACCCCACGGGGAGGGGTCGGACATGTCACCCAGACCGGATATTTATGAAAAATTTAATAACTCAGTTGGAGAAAGCCTACAGAGCAGAAAACAATTGGTGTAAGGGAGCAATGTCTAAGGTGTTTCCAGCATACATGACGTGGGAGGCCCGCCCAGAATGGGCGGGAGCGCGCTCTGAAGTGTACAGCGCTTCCTCTACAAGTCCCCATAATTCGGTTCCGAGAAGTCATGGAGAGCGGAAAAACGATAAAGAGGTTAGAGAAGGAGGGAAGGCTAAATATTGGTGGTGGGCGCTGCCAGCACACAAAATGGGCGGGGTTTGCTACCAAGTCTATAAACTAGTATAAAAAAAGTCCCTGAGACTGAAAAAAGTGGATTGAGGTCGGCGGTGGAGAGAATGTTAATCGTCCTTAGTGGGCGGGACATGCCTCAAAGCGGGCGGAGATATGTTGGTGAAGGGAAGGAGGTCAAATGCTACTGGTGGGCGGGCACGCACTAAAGTGAGAGG